AGGAAAAAAAAAGAAAACTACTAGTATAGTTTTTTCAAACACAAGTATACTTAATCAAATGAAAATATTTTTTATTTTTTGCTAATCGTGCTTCACAAACAAAATGCATTGCATACATTGGCCGTTCCTCATCATTGTATTCATCTTCCGTCGTCCCAAAAAACTCTATCCAATTTGACTTCCACCAGATTGAGATCAAACAGACTGTTCTCAATCAAAAGTAAGATGACTCTTTGACCATCAGATGGGGTTTGTGATATTAGATTCCCATTTCTCTGAGCCTTGACTTTCTACTAAGTTATCAACTTATAACGTGAAAGCTTTTATCCAGGTTTACATAGTGAGAGTCAGTGATTTGGATCACTCTGCACATGAAGGAGGACAACCAGAGACAGAAAAGAGCAGTGAAGATGGGTGCGAAAAGAGGAAAAGCCCGGCTGAAGTGACTCCGAGACTTGGTGAAAACTTTCTTGAGGATTATGAGGGTGAAGGGTTCTATTTCGCTAGTGATAGTGAGGATCCCCCTGCAGAAAACATGGAAGAAAGCAAATCCCTAGATCCCTTTGAGGACTTGAAGAGTTTCAAGATTGTTGTAAACGGTTGCCCTGTTGACCCATTGATCTCCGTCTCAGCACGCATCAAGTATTATGAGCTATGTCTGGCTAGGAAATCATATCTACACGGCGAGCTTCTCAAGAAAATCAACCACCAACTGGCTACGGGAGTCATACTTGAGATCATCACCATTGCTGATGCCATAAGAGCTTGCTGCTTCTCCACCTCCCAGAGCGACATCAAAGAATGGGCAACAAAACTAGAAGGGTTTAGGCTCTTGGGAATGGATGTCGGTTTTCTGCTTGACAGAGTTGAGGAACTTCTGCGACTTGCTGTTGAGTATCAAGAGAGCGGGGAAGCAAAGAGGTATTACGAAACTACAAAGAAGGAAAAGCATTTGGATGAAGAAATAGCTTCTCTGGAAAGGAAGATGATGGAGCTTAAAGAAGCCAGGGCCACTCTTCAATCTGAAAGAGAGGTTCTTGAGGCGCATTTCCTTAAGCTGAGATTGAGTTTCCAAGACACGGCAAAGATGCCTTGGTGATCTTATTCGTGATGATCGTCCGCTTTCCTAGTTTCCTCTAACCTGTGTTTGGCACATGTGACTATTGATTATGAGGCCATTCATGTATTGTACTCTTATGTTTTCATATGTTGTTAAGCACATAAGCAATGAATGAGGGAGTAGTAAGTAGTAGTAGTGGTTAATGTTTTGTCTCACCTGTTTCAATATACTCCTTATCTTGTGCCAACTGATATTTTTTTCTTTCGGTAAATAGTAGTATATAAGAAACTTTTTATAAGAAAACATTATTTGTAATTAGGTGACTGCCATAGGAAGATTTTAAACATTAATTTAGTTATATATTAGTTAATAAAGAGTGAAATTCTTTATAAATTATTCCTAACGGTTTTTTAAGGCTTGTTTTATGCACAACAATGAAAGGCCAAACGATCTAAGGTAAAAACTGAAATTCATTGATTTGAAATCATGTGTTGAAAATACTATAATTCTACGTTCTTGTTAGAAGATCAATCTTTAAAAAAATAACGACTCACAACCTTTGTAATATACTAATATTGCATCATCATTTGTCTTGATAGAATAGAAAAAGAAATGATTCTTCTTCTTAGTGAGCTTAATTCAATACAAAATCAAATACTCCGTATTTTTTAATAAACGAGTTGCTTCATACGGAGTATAAGGGTATAACTCAAGAGCCTTTAGAATAACATATGGGGAGTACTACCCTTTTAAAACATGATGGACTAAATTGCAATGATATTGTTGTCCAACTAGGAGGTTTGGTGGAGCAATTACTTTGTTAGACAATACAAGGTTGAAATTCAAAGACACACCATATTTAGTAACAAAATTCTACTCTTACTCCACATTTCTATCTCATATTGTACTCAAGAGTTTGCTCTGATATGAAAATATAAGAGCAACATTGACATGTTACACTCTTGCTCTTACATTTCGTGATAGGGCAAACCCTTGAAGTACAATATGAGATATAAATATGTGGTACAATTAGCACACCCTATTAAAATACGGGGTATTATACTAATTGTGGGGTTTTAGTTGTCACACTCCAATTTAATGGATAAAATAACATCATTTTTTTGGTATTTTGATAACATTTTACTCTAATCTAGAAACATCTTTTCTCTATATACGGCGTATATCTATATACTCTCTCCGTTCTTAAAAGATTGCCAGAGTTTAACTTTTTTAATCAAACTGTGGCACCATTATGTGAAAACTATATTTAGTTATAATGTAAATTTAATAAAATTGAGTTTATTTTAAAATAAAGTTTTGAAATATCAAATTTTTAAAATATTTAATTATTTTAAACTATATTTAAGTCACGGTCAAAAGGGTACCCCAGTTTGACCTAAAAAGTCAAACTGTGTCAATCTTTTAGCAGATTGGAGAGTATTTATTTTTACCTATTTCAATGAATTAGTGGACGAAGTAATATAGTTACTTCACCCATCGTTTTATAGACTTTGTAATGTGATTTTTAAATAAAAAAATGCTAGTCACAAACTTAAAGATCGCAAATTTACTTTTCTTTAAGAGTATAAAATCATACTCCATCCGTCCTAAAATGTTCTTCCCAGTTATTTTTCATACGGTCAAATTTTAATCACTTTCTTTACCTATTTTCATTAGGTATTTGATAAAATAATATATTCTTGTTACCACTTGTTTTATACGAAGTAGAACTTTTGATGTAGTTTTTAAATATATAAATTTTATTTTTTAATTTTACATCTACAATCAAATAAATTGAATTAAAAATAAAAACGGTCAAACCTCGTAAACACAAACGGGAAGAACATTATAGGACGAAGGGAGTATTATCTATCTGTACATTATAAATTTATTGAAGCTCGTAAAGTTATTATCTGTACCAAAGATTGAACATATGTCTTTTAATTTGGAGAGTCATAGCTAGGGATGTAAACAAATCAAATATTTTAAATTCGATTCGCGATTTTTATTCGAATATGATGATTCGAATTCGCGTTATTCAAATACAAATTCAAATTCAAATATTATTTTTGATTCGAATATTAATCAAATACAAATACAAATAGGAATATATTCGATTTGGATGATATTCGAATATTCGAATATATGTATATATACACAGACCATGTTTTCAACATCAAAAGTCAAGCAAAGTAATATAGTATAAAGTCTATTTAAAATACTAAGAATTCAATAAATTAACATAACACGAAAATCTAAAGCATATGATTTTTAATAATTATATTTTATAAAATATAATTTGTGTAAGATGCAGATGCATTAATGTTTTTATATACCGAATATAGTATAGTATAAAGAGTTCCGTAAGTTAAATCACAAATTGATGTTGGTCCATCATATAAATTACATAGTATGATTATTCAAATATTCGTTTATGATTTGATAACTATTCGAATATTAATCAAATACTTATTCAAATCTTATTTTGAATTCGTCTCATATTCGGATTCGGATTCGTATTCGAAAAAATTAAACAAATACAAATTCAAATATATCGGTATTCGCTTCGATTCGGTTCGTTTACACCCCTAGTACTCATAGCAATACTATTTTTTTTTGAAAGTCATAGCAATACTATTAGACTATAAGATTTTGAAATTCTTTTTTATATACTCTTTATTAGTTTTAAAATAAATTGAATTGAAAAAAAAGTGGAAAATCTTCCAAACTACTCGGCAGCCCCCGAGCCTCTCATGACCAAGAGTAATGTTGTAGTCACAAACAAAATACTCACAAAATACACAAACTTACCAAATATGTAAAATAATAATTTCAAATAATGATCTCAAATAATTAAAAAATAAAAACTTAAATACACAAATGGTAGGTTTTGTGTATTTTGTGAGTGTTTTGTTTGTGACTAGCATCACTCCATGACGAGCAATGCTAGGGGTACACCTTTACACCAAAGGTGTACCCCATTTGTCCTCCACCCCCTTCTCTACCACCCATTTTTATCTACTTTTTATTTACTCCGTATTTAATTTTTTTTTAAATTCTTGCCCATTTTTGTGGTAATGGAGGGGGTGAGGGACAAATGGGGTACACCATTTGAATGGTGTACCTCTAGCATTTTTCCTCCATGACCAAACTAGGGGTGAGCAAGTACCGAACCGATACCGAAGTTTCCCGAAAAAACCGAGAATACCGAACCGAAAAATACCGAACCGAAAAAGTACCGAGAAGGAACCCAACCGTACCGAACCGAATGGTCGGTACGGTATTTGGGAACGGTACGAGGTGACTTCCCATACCGAAAATCCCGAACCGAACATATATACTAAAATATTATAAAAAATAATATCCCGGAATAATATTTTTATATTCCTTCACTAAATAATAATTTTTTTAAAAAAAAATTGGTTCAAGTTCTATTATGTGTAAATTATACTTTTATTTGAGTTTTAGTTTTTGTGTATGAACATAAAAGTATTCACAAAGATTCAATATACTCCTTTGTTGTCGTTCATTTTTTTAGTTTGTGAAATATAAACTAAGTTTTGATACGCATCTCTTGCATTTAAATATTCATTTTTTTAAATTTTTCATGTTTTTTTTATTTAAATTCTTTTTTAATTTTCAAAAATAAAGGGGCATTGTTAAGTTTTAAGATGTAAAGTAGGTATGTATATTACTATATTCATCCCGATTTGTACCGAAACCGATACCGAACCATTCCGAACCATACCGAACCGATATTTCGGGATCGGGATCGGTACGGAGTAAAATCCCATACCGAACCAAAATATTTGGTACGGTATCGGTACGAGCTAAATACCGTACCATACCGTACCAGTACCATGGTCACCCCTAGACCAAACTACGCCCCTACGTTTCCCCCTCTAAGGTCAGTGTGGTTCAGATAATCAGGTGTGATTTTGTCTAAGATTTAGGGTTTTGTTCATTTCATTTCTCACGCTGTCTGTATGCTACCATCCGGAGATGCAATTACCAAATAATTGCAGACACCTGATACCCTTTTGCTGCATTATTGCATTTTTAGATCCAAAACTTAGGCTAGATTTGCTGTCTTTAGGGTTTATTTGGGGTTTCGGTTGGAAATGGGCGGAACCCATCTGATCTTTTTTCTTGAATATCTGACAAGATCTAATCACATTTCCTGATGTGAAGTTTGTAGCAATTATATTTAAATGAAAATAGTACTGTAATTTAGTTTATGATTAAACAATCTTAGTCATTTTTTTGGCAGGGAACTCGCATCATCCCTAGGCCCTCTACTAAGTAAGTAAATCTTTGAATGGATTTCATTACAGGTTTTAGAAACTGTGACAATTTGTGGGTTTTCATTACACGTGTTGTCGCAGGAAACGGATAACAAAGGCGCAATGGAAGAACTCTGCAACTTATTCATATGTTAGAGATAAAGCAAGGGCCATTCAAGCTGGTCTTGACCCAAAATATCCAAGCTTCATTAAGATTCTATTCAGTTCCTATGCTACAGGGGATATCCTGGTAAGATGCAATAATTGTTCTTTTTTTGGGTTTTGTTTTGTCTTGGAACTCAGAAATCGGAATTCAATTATAACTATCTCAATTGCAGAGTGTTCCGGCTAATTTTCGTAGAAACTATTTACGTAAAGATGATGTAATAACAATGGTGGGCGAAGATGGTAGTAGGTCTCAGGTCGTTTACCTAGCAGATTTAGGACTTCGTGGCGGATGGAAAGACTTCTGTGCTGCATATAACTTGCAAGTGGGTGATGCACTTGTTTGCCACTTAGTAAGCAAACATACACTCAAGGTAAATATATGTTTAAATGTTTAGCTTTTCTTTCATTTGAAAATGCAGTTTAACATGGGGGATATCACTACTTCACATAGATCTAATTATTTAGTTTCATTAATAGGAAAAAAAAAACTAAGTTAACTTTCGGAGCCGGCATCACAGTAATGGAAGTGGTCATCATCAAACAGCACGAACTCCAAAGAATGTTTAGCTTCCTTAATCTAGATTACTAGGAATTGTTTCTCTACTTCCTTTTTTGTAATTCTCATTGCCTTTTTCTGTAATTGTCCGCCACTAAAACGATGAATTGAGATATGGAACCAAAAACTGTAGTGCACTTGCAGTACTCCTAAACAGCTTGTTTCTTTAAATTGAAATTAGTGGTCTGATGTCAATTACAAGTAAAACAGCTCCCTCTGTACATCAAGATGGACTTTGTAATGTGATTCCTAGTTTTTAGAATATTAAAAAAGCTCAAAAGCTACTATCAACTTACAATTTAAAACTTGTATCCAGGTTTACAGTGTGAGAGTGAAGGATTTTGATCGCCATGGACAAGAAGAACAATCAGGCACTTCATAATTGTATTCTTCCTCTCTTTCCAATTCACCATTTTTTTCCAGGACTTATAGTTGAAAATAATACAGGGACAGAAGAGAGTGATGGAGAAGATGTATCCCACGAGATAACAGATCAGGTTACAAGGGCGAAATCACATTTTGATGAAAACCCTTTGGTGGATGATGAGTTAAACAATAAAGGGCTCATTTTTGAGAGTGGTAAGGACATTCGTTCTTACATTGATGAGGAGGATGCACTTGCAGAAAAGACCGCTGTAAATCGCAGTTCCCCGGAACCTTTTGTGGATTTGAAGAATTTCAAAGTAGTTGTAAACGGCTCTCCCTTGGACGACCCTGAACTTCCCTTGTCTGCGCGTGTGAAGTATTATAAGCTATGCTTGGCTAGGAAATCGTATCTACACAGTGAGCTTCTCAAGAGAATCAGCCACCAGCTAGCTACAGGAATTATACTTGAAACGGTCAGCATTGCCGATGCCATCAAATCTTGTAGCATTTCAACCTCCCAGAGTGACATCAAGGAATGGGAAACCAATTTAGAAGGATTTAGGGTCTTGGGAATGGATGTTGATTTTCTGCTTGACCGTGTCAAAGAACTGTTACGGTTTGCTCAAGAGAGCGGAGAAGCAAAGAGGCATTATGAAACTACAAAGAAGGAAGATCTACTGAACGAGGAAATAGCTTCTCTCGAAAGGAAGATGAGGGAGCTTAAAGAAGCTAGGGCCACTCTCCGATCTGAAAGTGAAGTTCTTGAGGCGCATTTACTGAAGCAGAGATTGACTTTCCAAGAGACGGCAAAAATGCCTTGGTGATCTTCACAGGGATCCTAGTTGGTTTATACGTCGTGCTTGCTCACTCTGAGGGAGTGTGTGATGTACTCATCACTCATGGGTAATGTGCTAAGGGTATATAAGTAGTGATTGGCTGTCCTAATGCAACTTGTTAGATATATTATATGTTTATGTCATTATGTGTAGAAACTTTTGAAGGCATGGTCCTTCTGGGGTAGGCTCTCTTTTTGAGGGGTGGACTTTAAATCACCATTGTTTGGTTCAGGAGGGAATGGAAGGGATGTAAGGTGTGCCTGTATGGCTATATGTTAGGATTTTTCATATACTATCCATGTTGATGAAAAGTGATTTATGATGTCGAAACAAAGCCTGAGAGTGTATAAAATACATTGGGAGAGGGAGCCCCACAGAACAACCAAAGATAAAAATCACATTACCAAAGTTAATGCCATACTTTACACTATAGTTCGTTCAAGGAATCTGAATGGGAAAAGAAAAGAAATGAGAGGGAAAATAAATTTTCATGTTTGGTTAGGGGGAAAAGAAAAGAAAAGACAAGTGGAAGAAAAAAAAAATAAGAAGTCAAAATGTACTAAGAGGAGGTAAAACCAAATTCTTCTTTTGTTGAAAAATATGAAAGAAAATAATTTTCTTTTCTTTCCAAATTCTTTAAACCAAACATAGTGTTAAGAGTCGTGGGGAGGTAATTTGGGAAGGGAAAATATGTTTTTGGCCTTTAACAATTCATGTACTTGGCATTAGTAGTAAAAAGAACAAGGCAACGGGAACTTTAGAGGCTAAACCCATACTTGATGTAACAAAGAAGACAAACATATCATGATTCAGGAATTGATTCCTGCCATCAAAGATAAAGTACCAGATGCACATACAAAACACATAATCATACAGTAACATAATGCCAAACCACACATTCATATTGGCTTAAAATGTTCTTTTAAAAACCAATTCTTATGACCAAGAACATAAAATAGATTTCGGTAGAACAACTTACCAAAAAGAGCAATATATAAACAAGGACAAAATGGCCATGAATTTTTGTTGCTAAATATGCTAAAAAGATGAAAAAAGTTGCAATTTTGTGAGAAGAATGATGGAGAAAATTGGCATAAACTTGAAAGCCCTGAGTAGATATATGCTCTTTTAGTCTAGGGTCCATTTTTAATCAACATAAACTTGTCTAAAAAGTCCTAAACAAAAAGAGCATATATCTACTCAGGGCTTTCGAGTGCTACTCTTATCTAGGCTCCATTCTCGGTGAAAGTTCCGATTTATTATCTTGGTTTACTTTTATTGATCTTCATTCTATTCGCAGGATGTGTAATTGCATTGCTCATACTCTTGCTAGGTATGCTACGGCTTAGAGTGTCTCTTAGGATCGCCCACCACCTGGTTGTATTACACATTCGATTTCTTCGGAATGATTTATTTTTCCCGTAAAAAAAACCTTTCACCCTCCAAATCAATCTTTCCGAATCAGATGGATTCTTCTTCCCTCCCGCCCTCTTTTTCTTCTGTCAATATTTTTTCACCTTGTCATAAAAAAATAATAAACAAAAAACAAACAAAAATAATAAACAATAAATGGAATAATAATAATAATAATATATAGAAAAAGCCAAAAATAAAAAAAAATAAAAAAGTAATGTGAAAATAAAATAAATCGTTATAAAACAATAAATACTCTGTAAAGATTAATAATAACAAAAAAGTATAATAATAAAAAATCATATAAATAATAGAAAATAAACAAAAAAATTAATATATAATGAATTAAAAAACTCAAATAAAACTAAAAACAATAAAATAATAAAATAAAACCTAATAATAAACATAAAAATAAATAAAAAATAGTTTTAAAATAAAAAATAAAAATTAATAATAATAAAAAGTTATTATAAATAGTAAATAAATAATACAAATCAAATTAATAAATAGTAATTAAAATAATAATAATCAATAAAAAATTAAACATATAATTAATTTAAAAACAATAAAAAATAAAAATATATATAATATCAATACAAATTTATAATAAAAATAAAAAACAAAATTAATAAATTAAATTTAAAAATGAAAATAAAATACTGGTAATAATTTAAAAAATATAGATAAAAAATAAAATTTTAAAGTGAAAAATAAAAATTAGAAAACAAATATGAAAACAAAACACAAAACATTTTCTTCTTCTCCCAACTAAATAAGGTGAAGGGAATCTTTCTCATCCCTTCCCACCCTTTCTTTCCCATCTCCTCCCTTCCAACCAAACAACACGTTAATCAAGGAAAGAGGGGTTAAAGTTGGGACTTGGGATAGAGTGTAAGGGGTTGGGAATTAGATGAAAGAATTATTTAGCAACGCAAATAGACTTGACAATAAGGTCAATCGGTTCGGTTTCGGTTCGAATATTTTGGGTTTGGGTCTCTTTCAGATATATGTTATCCTAGGTTCGGGTGAGTTCGGGTCAGTTTGGTTTTGGGTTAAATTCGGTTTAATTTTTTTCGGTTTCGGTTTGGATTTATATCGGTTCGAATTTATACCGGTTTGGATTTATATCGATTTGGATTTATACCAGTTTCAGATGATATCCTTTGGTATTAAAGTTCCTAATGTTAGCCTTGTGTGTAGCCTCTCATCTCTATGTGTAAAAAGAGTATATATACAAATGTCAGAAATAATGAGCTATTATATCGATTATTGTGTTTTACGATGTCACTATAAATTTTATAAGCTCTCTATAAAGATACGAAACAACCTTAGTTTAAGTGATAAAATACGAAGTAAAAAATTTGTACATTAAATTAGTTGTACCTATAACTCAAAAATGTTTTTCTTAGGAAGACATTAACCAATGAGCTATTAGGTTTGTCTGGATTTGAGCTTAATTTGTTTTGAACTTGATCAATATCGGGTCTAATCGGTTTTTGGATCTAATCGGTTTTGGGTCTAATTGGTTTCAGATCTAATCGGTTCTGGGTTTAATCGGTTTGTAACTCGTTTGGGTTCAATCAGATCGGATTTGAATCGGATTTGAATACATTCGGTTCCAGTTTGGTTCGGATCATTTCAGGTGTTCAGGTTTAATTCGGTTCTCCAATTTTCGAGTCATTTCGGATTCGGTTTCGGATTTTTCAGTTCGGGTTATCAAGTCCGGATCAGTTTTGCCCGATCTAAACGTAAATGCTTCGAATAACTTTGATATTAAATTATCAATGTCAAAAGATCTATGTTGTAAAAATAAGGAGCCGATATATATCATAAGGGCAATACTAGGGGTATATCTCATTTGTACAACAAACTTTTACAGATACACAGATACACAATAATGCGTGTGCACAGAAATTACATGACTGTGTGTGTCTAGACCTGGCAAAACAGAACCGGAACTGATTTCCCGAACCGAAATATCCAAAACCGAAACCGAAATGACCCGAAAAATGAAGATCCGATATGTAACCGAAAACCCGAAATGATCCGAATCGAACCGAAACCGAACTAAATAATTCATATCTGATTTAGATCCAAAACCGATAATATCCGAACCGATTAAACCCGAAACCGATTAGATCCGAAACCGATAATACTCGAAACCGATAAAACCCGAAACCGATCAGATCTGAAACCGATAATATCCGAACCCAATTAGAACTAAAATCGATAAATTCGGAACTATGTTTGCCTTTCAATAAGCATATTATATTTTTAAATTTTTACTTTTATTTTACCATTTGAACTAATTACATTACTTGTTCATTCCCTCATAAAATGGATTATCTTCTTGAAAAAAAGTACAAAATTTCATGCCTTAAATTTATTATATGTAGAAATTAAAGATAAGTTATACATATAAATTATAACGCACAAACAAACAAAATTTCCGTTATTTTTAAATAGTGAAGTGTGATATTCTTTTTGGGACGAAAAGATTATATGATGAATTGTATGAAATAACTAGATTTTATCCTAATTTCATCCCATTACAATAAGTTTTATTGATTTGAGGGTTAATTTGATTAGTTTCAAACCAATTCACTCAATATTGGTTAATAAAATTAGATGCTAGTGTTAGCATTTTGAAAAGACTTTCTACCGGCAACATTAAGTGTTATCATTTTCAAATTTGATCTACATCATTACATTTAGGTGTAAAATTAATTATATTTGAATCTATTAAATTTAATTTTATCCATTTTCAACCAAATACACTCAGTAATTTATAAATTTTGCACTCAATTGAATAAAATTCACTTAATTTCACCCAATTTTACTCAATTTTTACCAAATTATATTCAAATGGAACATAACACTATTTGAATTTATCTTTTATCTTTTCATTTATAAACATAAGTATATTAGTAGATGTGAGAAAAATTTGATATTTCAAAACTAAATTTTAAAATCGATTTAATTATATTAAATTTATATCATAATTAAATATATATGTTTTCATAATTTGTAGTCCAAATTTGTAAAATATGACTAAAAAGTCAAAAAGGGAAGATTATTTAAGGTAGAGATAATATAATTAGAAAAAAATATAAAATAGTATGAGGTATTGAATTGATGATAGATTGAAAAATGTGATAAAACATAAAAAGAAACATGGATAGTTAAATTTTAATTAGAAAATAATATATATCCAAAATATATTTGATCCGAAACCGAAATATATCCGAACCGAACTAGACCCGAAACCGAAATATATCCGACTCAAATTATATCCGAACCGAAATCTATCCGAACCGATTTATAACCGAACCATATTTGAACCGACTCGAAACCGAACCGAACCGAAAAATGGATAGAACCGAATCAAATCCGAACCGAAATTTAACCGATCCGATCCGAACCGATTATAACATATAACCGAAAGATATCCGAATCGAAAAAATCCAACCCAAAACCAATCCGGTTGACCCGATTGCCACCTCTATGTGTGTCTACAAAATTTGGTGTAGAAATAAGATATCACATTTGCTATATCCCTAGCTTGAAATTGAGGTTGATGTAACATTTGGCATTTAAATTATTTTGCCGTTTAAAAACTCGGCGTTTTCTCCAATACCGATCGGTCCTGGGAAGGATGGTTCATCGTTTTTGTGTGTTCTTCTGGAGTAGCCTGGGTGTGTACTACCTCCTACCTAAAACGGCAATTTGCATCTTTTCTCGCAAAAGCATAAAGGACAAAGAAATGCCATTTCCAGACGGAGTATTTATTTCCTCTATTGATGTTTGTACGATCCCATCTTGTCCTAGCCAGAATACATTGGCTACTCCTAAAATGGAGCCGTTGATCAACAAGGAAACTTGTCTGTGAAGAACATTTTCAGCAGCGCCCGAGTCTCTCTCATGACCAAACCACGCCCCTATGTTTCTCCCTCTACGGTCAGTGTTGTTCGGATGTGTATGTTTGTCTAGAATTTAGGGTTTCTTTTTTTGTGCTCATTTCATTTCTCTTATGTTAGCTGCCAGAGATGCAAATACAGAATAATTGCAGACACGCGATACACTTTTGCTGCATTATTGCATTTTTAGATCCAAAACTTGTGCTCATTTTGATGTTTTAGGGCTTTTTGAGGGCTTTTTGGGGCTCGATTGGAAATGCACTGAACTAGTTTTGTTTTCTGTGTGTATACTTTGTGTTCATCTGATTTTTTTGCTTGCATTTTTGACAAGATCTAATCACATTTTCTGATATGAAGCTTTTAGAAATTATATTTAAATGGAAAGAACACTGTAAATTACTTTGAGTTCTAAGACTGAGCAATGTTGGTCATTCCTTTTGGCAGGGAACTCACCTGACCCCTAGACCCTCCACTATGTAAGTAAACTGTGGAAAGGATTTCATTATAACTTTAGAACCTGTGACAATTTGTGGAGTTACTTCTAAGTGTTGGCACAGGAAACGAACAAATCTTATGTCAAAGGCGGAATGGAAGACATCTGCAGCTTATTCATACGTTATGGGTAAGGCAAAGGCCATTCAAGCCAGTCTGGACACAAGATATCCAAGCTTCATTAAAATTCTACTCAGTTCCCATGCTAAGTTTGATGTCCTGGTAAGATGCGGTAATTGTTATTTTTTCTTTGTTTTGGAAGTCAGAAATCGGGATTCAATTTCAAGTATCTCAATTGCAGAGTTTTCCAGTGGACTTTCGTAGAAACTATTTACGTAATGATGATATAATAACACTGGTCGGCGAAGATGGTATGAGGTTTCCAGTCGTTTACCAGACAAATCTAGGACTTCGTGGTGGATGGAAAGACTTCTTGGCTGCATATAACTTGCAAGTGGGTGATGCACTTGTTTTCCACTTAGTAAAAATAGATGAACTCCAGGTAAGTATATGTATAAATGTTTAGTTCTTTTATTAAAACATGTAGATTAACATGGGGGATATCACAAGTTCACACATAGCTAATTATTTAGTTGCACAATAACAAAAACAACCACAAACAACCCAGTAAAATCCCACAAAAGTAGGGTCAGGGAGGGTAAGCGTTCACAGACCTTACCCTACTAGGAATAGTTGCACTAATATGAAGACAACTTTTGTAAACAGATGTACTCTCAAGTGGCCTTCATTAAACTGTGGGCAAACATAATTAAAGTGGAAGCTGCACTAACTCCAAAGAAAGCTTAGATTCCTGAATCTAAATTACTTGAACTGTTTCTGTAATTTTTCCTCTGTTTTTTCTTATTCTCATTGCCTTTTCTGTAACTGTCTGCCGCTAAATTATTTATCTACTTTTCATTGAAACAATGAGTTGAACAGTGGAACCAAAAACTGTAGTGCCTTTGTACTCCTAAACAACTCCTTTCTTTAAAGAACCCAAATTTCAAGTAGTGAACTGATGCCAATTACAAGTAAAAAAAGCTCCCTTTTGCCATCAAGATGGAGTTTGTAACGTGATTCCTAGTTTTTGGACTGTTGAAAGTCTCTAAAGCTACGATCAACTTACAATATAAAACCTGCATCCAGGTTTACAGTGTGAGTGTGAACGATTTGGATCATGGTGCACAAGAACAATCAGGTACTTCACTTTTATATTCTGCCTCTTTTTCCCACTCGCCATTTTTTTGGGAACTTAAGGTTGAAAATAACACAGGAATAGAAGAGAGGAATGGGGAAGTCGCATGCCAAGAGAGTACATCACATGTTCATGAAAACCTTGTCGAGGATCATGAGTTAGGTGATGAAGAGTTCATTTTCGACAATGGTAAGGACAACTGTTCTTACATTGATAAAGAGGGTGAACTTGCAGAAAACACCGCAGGAGAATGCAGTTCACCGGAACCATTTGTGGACTTGAAGAATTTCAAAATTGTGGTAAACGGTTGCCTTGTTGACCCTTTGATCTCTGTCTCAGCCCGTGTCAAGTATTATGAGCTATGCTTGGCTAGGAACTCGTAACTACACAGTGAGCTGAGAAGCAACCACCAGCTAGCCACTGGAATCATACTTGAAACCGTCCGCATCGTTGATGCCATCAAAACATGTTGCCTTTCCACCTCCCAGAGCAACATCAAAGAATGGGAAACAAATTTGGAAGGATTCAAGCTCTTGGGAATGGATGTCGGTTTTTTGCTTGACCGAGCCAAGAAGCTCTTACGGTTTGCTGCTGAGTATCAAGAGAGTGGAGAAGCAAAGAGGTATTATGAAGCTACAAAGAAAGAAAAACATTTGGATGAGGAAATAGCATCTGTGGAAACAAAGCTGATGGAGCTAAAGCAGGCTAGGGCCACCCTTCATTCTGAAAGAGAAGTTCTTGAGGCCCATTTCAAGAAGCTGAGGTTGACGTTCCAAGAGACGGCGAAGATGCCTTGGTGATCTTCACCGGATCTTGGTCGCTATGTGTCGTCTGTTTCATGTGCTATTGTGCTAAGGAAGGAACTGGGAAAAAACTTCCAGTGTTGAGGGTTTGCCTTGTGCTCATTGTGGGGTCAGTTTGATGGGAGGAATGAATTGAAGTGTTTGTTAAGGAATGGTAGTAGTGGTAGTAGTAGAACACATATGTTGTTAAGCACATAAGCAAATGAATGAATGATCCACGTAAGTAATAGGGAGGGAGCTTTTCATTGGCCTTCTTTGGTAGAAACTGGGAGTAGTAGTAGTAGTAGTTGAGGTTTGTCTCACCTGTTTCAATATACTCCTTTTCTTGTGCCAACTGATTTCTATTTTGGTAAATGGTAAGTTAAACTTAGTTTGTGCCTGCTCTTTTGGAGTTTGGCTTTAACTAAAAACAACATTTATGATTTGCATTAACTTTTTATATTTTTTTTAATGATACAGATTGCATTTAGGAATAATAATAATAATAATAATAATAATAATAATAATAATAAGGGCAAGGATCTTTTGACCTTAGAACTTCGGGTCATAATATGACCCGGGACCCCTATGGTGCTCCGTTCGTAAAATTGATGGTTCCTACCCCCTAACCCCCCCACTTAAACCCTACCCCAATTTTACGAACGGAGCACTGTAGAGGTCTCGGGCCATATTTATGACCCGAGGTACCTTGGTACCGTCTGGGCGGTAGTTCGATACTGTTTCTGCGCAAAGTTTGAACAGTGTCGTCTTCAACCTCGGGCCAATTTTTGAAAACTTCATTTCTAGCCATCAAACTTCAATTTAATTATATATTTTTTTTCAAAGTTCATAGATCATTTTGGTATCATTAATTTGAAGTTTTAACAACAATTTTAAGGTTTATGATTCTTGGTTCTTCGAGCATGTCAAACACAAAACTCAACCAAACGACCGCTTATGAATGTAGAAATGATCTATATGAACATTCTAATCACTAGATTATCTAAGGCTTACTTCGAGCGAAAATGGAGGTTTTGGGGAAATTCCGGTGAAACTTCCAACGACAATTACTACCAACTCCGGTAACCTCAAGCTCTCCGGGGAGCACCAATGAACTCTCCACACTCAGAGGAACATAATAGGAGAAACAATTAAAATGATTAGTAAAGAAATGGGAAGGGTTGTGTAGTGGCAATCGGCGATCGGCTCAGTGCGTTTGGCTGTGATTCAGTTTGATTACACACGCCAGTCCCTGATTGGGACCTAAATAGTTCTAGTCGGGGTACACTTTTTGGTCCAACTTTCTCCGAGTTGAAAACCGTTTGCACCGTTGCGATCGGACAGTCAAACTCTATCCAACGATATAATTTTTATATTTGTTTGTAATGCTTTTTCCGACATCATATTTTTGAGTAGTAGACTTGAGAGAGTCAAAATCGATTTAATTAATCTTTTATTTAAAAGATTTTCATATTCAATTCATATTATTCAAGCTAATGCTTTATTTCAATAAATTATCTCAAGGGTTCACATCAATCAAACAATTTAAAAGTTTTTTTTAGGTTTTCCAACTTTTTGAAGTTTTCCCAATTTCTTCCAGTTCCTTCCTGGTCTTTCCAGAATCTTCCAGGTCCTTTAAGTTTCTTCCAGGTCCTTCAAGTTTTTTCCCTTTTCTTTCAGTTTCTTCGAGTCCCTTGCTGTTTCTTCCAGTTCCTTCCTGTTTCTTCCAACATATAGCTATTTTTTCTAGTTCTAAAACAGACTATTAGAGCCTGTTCTTTAGGACTGAAAAAAGAGCTAGATATTGAAAGAAACTAGAAGTAGCTGGAAAAAACTAGAAAAAATAAAAGAAATTGAAAAAACAAGAAAAAATTGGAAAATCTAAAAAAACTTTTTTTGTGTATTTTTATATTATTCCCATTCTAATTCTTGTTGTTATAAATTATTAATATTGTTATTATTATTAATTTTGTTGTTGTTATTGTTGTTGTCGTCATCATGTTATCTTAATGAATGCCTTTAAGATAAAATATATTGTTATTTTTCATACACAAAAAAACTAATTTTGCAAAAAAAATTTATTAGAATATAAAATTAGCATAAATATCAAAATGTTAAATATTTAAAAGTTATTGTGGCTACGCTGCACGTCACTTTATTTATGCAGTATTTATCATAAAATAATATATTTGTAATTATACTTACATATTACAAGATTTTGTTTTAAATATCAGACATGTCACATAATGTGATCAGTGTGAATCATAAAAATATTGAGATGAAAAGGTGAAATAATTTATAAATTATAATTATGAACATAATTAGTGTAATGATAATAATAATAATAATGATGATGATAATAATAATAATAATAATAATAATAATAACAACAACAACAACAACAACAACAACAACAACAACAATAATATATCGAAAAATCTGTGTTTTGTCAATAACCGCTTTTGTGTGTTCTTCTGGAGTAGACCTCCTACCAAAAACGGCAATTTGCAGCTTTTCTTGCGAAAGCAAAGTGGACAAAGAAATGCCATATCCAGGCGGAGTATTTATGTCGTCTATTGATGTTTGTACGATTCCATCTTGTCCTAGCCCGATTACAGCCCAATTTTTGAATTGGCGGAGCTCCTGCATTGGCTACTCTAAAGGAGCCGTTGATCGAGGAAACGTGTTGAAGAAACGAGTATGTGAAGAACATTTTCGAAACTACTCGTCATGTTTCAGCAGCGCCTGAGTCTCTCATGACCAAACCACGCCCCAATGTTTCTCCCGCTACGGTCAGTGTGGTTCGGATGTGTTTTTTTTTTGTCTAAAATTTAGGGTTTTTGTTCGTCTCATTTCTCACGCTGTATGTATGTTAGCTTCCAGATATGCATTTACAGAATAATTGCAGACACCTGATACACTTTTGCTGCATTATTTCACTTTTAGACCCAAAATTTGTGCTTAATCTGCTGTTTTTAGGAGGGTTTGCAGGTTTTTTTGGGGTTTCCATTGGAAAAGCCCTAAACTAGTTTTGTTTTCTGTATGTATTCTTTGTGTTCATCTGATCTTTTTGCTTGCATGTATGACAAGATCTAATCACATTTTCTGATATGAAGTTTGTGGCAAATATATGTAAATGAAAAGAACACTGTAATTTACTTTGAGTCCTATGACTAAGCAATGTTGGTCATTTCTTTTGGCAGGGAACCCGCCTGATCCCTAGACCCTCCACTATGTAAGTAAATTGTGGAAAGGATTTCGTTATAACTTTAGAACCTGTGACAATTTGTGGAGTTACTTATAAGTGTTGGCGCAGGAAACGAACAAATCTGATCACAAAGGCGGAATGGAAGAACTCTGCAGCTCATTCATACGTTAGGGATAAGGCAAAGGCCATTCAAGCCAGTCTGGATGCAAGATATCCAAGCTTCATTAAGTTTCTCCTCAGTTCCCATGCTAAATTTGATATCCTGGTAAGATGTGGTAATTTTTTTTTTTTTTTTTTGCGTTGTTTTGGAAGTCAGATATCGGAATTCATTTTCAAGCATCTCAATTGCAGAGTCTTCCAGCAGATTTTCGTAGATACCATTTACGTAATGATGATATAATATCACTGGTGGGAGAAGATGGAATGAGATTTCCGGTCTTTTACCTAGCATATTTAGGACTTCGTGGTGGATGGAAAGACTTCTTTGCTGCATATAACTTGCAAGTGGGTGATGCACTTGTTTGCCACTTAGTGAGCAAACATGAACTCAAGGTAAATGTATGCATAAATGTTTAGTTCTCTATTTATTAAAAAAATGGATTTTAACATGGGGGATATCACAAGTTCACAGATATCTAATTTTTTCGTTTTACAACAACAACAACAAACCCAGTAAAATTCCACAAAAGTAGGGTATGGGGAGGGTGAGTGTATGCAGACCTTACCCCTATTAGGAATAGTTGCACTAATAGGAAAAAAACTTTTGCAAACAGATGTACTCTTAAGTTAACTTCAGAGCCAACATCAGAATAATGGAAGTGGCCTTCATTAAACTGTGGGCAAATGTAATGAAAGTGGAAGCTGCACTAACTCCAAAGAAAGTTTAGCTTCCTTAATCTAAATACATTGGAACTGTTTATGTACATTTTCCTCTGCTTTTGTTTTTAAAATCTCATTGCCTTTTCTGTAAATGTCTGCCACTAGTTTATTTATCTACTTTTTTATTTAAACAATAAGTTGAACTGTGGAACCAAAAACTGCAGTGCACTTGTACTCCTAAACAGCTCCTTTCTTTAATGAACCCAATTTTCAATTAGTGAACTGATGCCAATTACAAGTAAAAAAATCTCCCTTTTGCCATCAAGATGGAGTTTGTAGTGTGATTCTTAGTTTTTTTTGGAATATAGAAAGTCTCTAAAGCTACGATCAACTTACAATATAAAACCTGTATCCAGGTTTACTGTGTGAGAGTGAACGATTTGGATCATCGTGCACAAGAAGAAAAATCAGGTACTTCACTTTTGTATTCTGCCTCTTTTTCCCATTCATCATCTCTTCCGGGGCTTAGGTTGAAAATAACACAGGAATAGAAGAGAGGGATGAGGAAGTTGTATGCCAAGAGATGACATCACATGTTGATCAAAACCTGGTAGAGGATCATGAGTTAGGCGATCAAGGGTTCATTTTCGAAAGTGGTAAGGACGATTTTTCTTACATTGATAAAGAGGATGAACTTGCAGAAAACATCGCAGGAGAATACAGTGCACCGGAACCATTTGTGGACTTGAAGAATTTCAAAATTGTGGTAAACGGTTGCCTTGTTGACCCATCGATCTCTGTCTCAGCCCGTGTAAAGTATTATGAGTTGTGCTTGGCTAGGAACTCATACCTACACAGTGAGCTGAGAAGCAACCACCAGCTGGCCACCGGAATCATACTTGAAACCGTCCGCATCGTTGATGCCACCAAAGCATGTTGCCTTTCCACCTCCCAGAGCAACATCAAAGAATGGGAAACAAATTTGGAAGGATTTAAGCTCTTGGGAATGGATGTCGGTTTTTTGCTTGACCGAGTCAAGGAGCTCTTATGGCTTGCTGCTGAGTATCAAGAGAGTGGAGAAGCAAAGAGGTATTATGAAGCTACAAAGAAAGAAAAACATTTGGATGAGGAGATAGCATC